AATTAGTATATATGGAAAGAGTAATATGGAATGATACTTCCCATATTATTCACTGGATATATTTCAGCCTGCGGGTTCAAAAACATGAAGAACGCTCTCCATCCCCTTTCTATGTTCCTCCCCGCTTTCCACCTTTCAACTTGCCCACCTTCCTCTCCGCTCGTTGCCGATGGACCAACACATTCACACGCCTGCCGAGAAACACCCGGCGCTTAAATTCACGACTCATTTAAAGGTTCTTTTCGCGGTCACGACATGAGGGGAGCAGTGTTTTTTTTTTTTTTTTGTTATTTGAGGCATGGGGAGTCTTGCCATGTTTAGCCGGAGAGCCAACTCTGGTTCCCTTCCTGAAGCACACACCCAACCTGAGCATTGTAAGGGGTGGGGGGTGGAGTGGGTAGGGGTGAGAAAAGGTGGGGGAATGGGTTGGGGATAGAGTGGATCGATTTATATGCTGCGTTTGAAGTCTATGATGTATGTGATTGTATGGTCTCTTGCTTGGTCTGTCTCTTTCTTTTTTGGTCTTTTCTTCAATGCGACCGTCACCGTTTCCTCTTCTCGCTCTCTCTTCTATCTCCCTCTCTCCCTTCCTTCACTTCCCATCCCCCCCCACCCCCCCCCTCTCTCTCTCTCCTCTCTCTAACTGACGATACTCTCTCTACTCTCTCTCTCTCTCTCTCTCTCCTCCTCTCTCTTCTCTCTCTCTCTCTCTCTCTCTCCACTCACCCTCTTTCTCTTAGTCTCCAGTCCCCTTCCCTCCGCTCCACGTTTATGATGTCTATGTGACACGTGAGGCATGCGTTCGTCTTCCTCGGTCTTTTTCCCGTATTTCTTTCTTTTCTTACATCTTTCTCCCACCTTCTCTCTCTCTCCTGCTCTCTCTCCCCTCTCTCTTGCGTCCCCTCTCTTCTCTCTCTCTACTCTCTCTCCTCTCCTCTGCTCTCGTATCCCTCTCTCCTTCATCTGCTCTCTCTCTTCCTCTCTCTCTGCACGGATGAATCGATCTCTCTCGGTCGTCTGGCCACTCTCTCTCGATCCTCGGTACTTCTCGGCGTCTCTCTTTCCCTCCCTCACCTCCCTTCCTGGTAGGCTTACCCTCCCCTCGACCTCCCTGAAAACGAGACAACTCCTCCGACTACCACTCCTCCCCTCCCGTCGCCCTCCCCTCCCTCCCCACAAAAACACCCCCACAAAACACCTACAGTGGGAACATTGGTGTTTACCGCAGGGATAAGTAAAGATACTTACTCGCTAAAGAGAGATACAAAGAGTGTAAGATATTTTAAGCAATAGGAGAAGACATAAATTATTTAGGATGGCAGATGTTGACGCTTCGTATTATCTCCTCTCTTTGTCTTTCTCTGTTTATTCATCTATTTATTTATTTTTCTGTTGGTTTAGGTCTTATTCTTTTTCCTCTTCCTTTACTTTCTCTATTATTTTTCTTATTTTTTTGGTTTGTGTTTTCTTTTTATTTGCTATGTTTTTCTCCCTTTTTTGTTTGTTTGTTCTTTTATTCTTTTTCTTCGTCTTCTTCATCATCTACTTCTTTCTTGTCGCTTTTCTTCTCCTTCTATTTTTTTTTTTACCCTTTCATTTTTTTCATTTTCTTCTTTTCTTCTCCTTATTCTTCTTCTTCTTCGTGCACTTCTTTCTTGTTATTCATCCTCTCCGTCTTCCTTTTTCCTCCCCTTCTCTTTCTACTTTTTTTCTAATTCTGTGAGAAATAGAAGACATCTGTCGATCTTCACATCAGAGTAAAGTGCATCGAGCAAGTGCAGATGCAACGGATTTGCAACCAGATGGAACACTGCAAAAAAGCGAAAAGCGGTTGACAGGATTTGGGTGTTTCTCCTCTTTTCTGCTCTCTCCTCTCTCTGTTGTCTTCTCTCTCTCTCCTCTCTTCTTCCTCTCTCTCTGTCTCTCTCTCTCTCTCCTCTCTCTCTCTCCTCTCTCTCTCTTCTCTCTCTCTCTCTCTCTCTCTCTCTCTCTCTCTCTTCTCTCTCTCTCTCTCTCTTCTCTCTCTCTCTCTCTCTCTCTCTCTCTCTCTCTCTCTCTCTCTCTCTCCTCTCTCTCTCTCTCTCTCTCTCTCTCTTCTTCTTCCTTCCTCTTCCATCCCCGTCCCCCTTCTTCCTTCTTTTCTTTCTCTTTCCCTCCCCTCCTCCTCTTCCTCCATCCTTTCCCCTTCCCTCTCCATCTTAACCACCTTCCTTCTCCATCCTCTTCCTTTTCCCCTCCATCCTTCCTCTCCTTCCCTCCACCTCCTCCCTTCCCTCCCTCCCTTCCTCCTTCCTCCTCTCCCTAATAAAGTGTCACAGACAATGAAACACCCCATGTAAAAAAAAAAAAAAAAAAAAACAAAAAAAAAAAAAAAAAAAAAAAAAAAAAAAGCACGAAGCCATGTGTACGGATACGACAAAGCGGTCGTTTTGTCTTGAGCGCATCTCGTTCCGCTCCCGAAAACGACTTCTGTTGGGACGAAATAACGACTCTGAGTACGACTGAACGACCGGGTTGACTGTAATTATGTTTTTTCCTTTTTTTTCTTTTATTTCTACCATTTCTCCGAAAAAACGGGAGATTCTCAACATGTTATATTTCTCAGAGTTTAAGCAGCGCATCCACTTACTTTCGGAATTAGGGTTAATTTCACTACTAACCTTGTTTCCCTCTTTATTCGTTTTTCTCTCTATTGGTAATTACTACTTTTATTCTTATTTTGCCTACTCTTATTCTTATTTCTATTCTTGCAAAATGTAATAAAAAGATTTCTGCTAACACTTTACACTGATTTTTCCAAATTTTCTAGCGTCAGGCAGCTATATCTATCTACTACTGCTATACTCTATATATATACTATAAGTAATATAGTATATATATATTATATATATATATAAATACGATGTTGTTGTGTTTGCAAGTATAGAGTGAGATACAGTATATACTATATATATACTATATATATAGGATATATATAAATGTAGATATATATAGATAGTATATATATATATATTATAGTAGCTAGCTAGCTAGATTGATAGATAGAGAGATGAAGGAGAAATATACAGTACAGCACATAACACGTTACAACATACACACCACACACACACAGACACACACCACGATACACATACCAGACAGTACACACACACACACACACAACAAACACACACACACACACACACACATCACACACACCACACACACACACACACACACACACACAGCCACACACAACAACACACACAAACACAACCACAATATATATATGTATATTATATATATATATATTATATATAATATATATATATATATATAATTAATAATATAGTATATATATATGTATATAATATACAGTGGATTGTGCCCCCAGCAGAGAAAAAGAAAATACATGAAAAAGTGTTAAAGGACATATTTTGGTGATCGCAAAACCAACAAGCCCTAGAGGTAAGCATTTTAGAAATCCCATTAAGACTCGAACAAAGGCTAATCCATTTCACCGCGCCGCTACCCCCCTCCCCCCCACAAATAACCCGGGCCTAGCGCAACCACCACCACTTAAAATCACACACTGACCGCGCGCGAGCGAACAGAAGCTCGGTGTACATTAAAATAACTCATCTGCACTCTATGTAAGTTACAAGACGTTGGCGCCCCCCTCCCTTTCCCTCCCCTCCCACCCGGATTCTGAGATATTCGCGCTCTCTCCCCCACTCCCTCCCCTCGCTTCATTTCTCTCCCTCTCTCTCTCCCTCCCCTCCCTCTGCTCGTGTATCCCTCTCCCCCTCCCACCATGCCTCATTCTACTCCCTTTCCCTTCCCTTCCCCTCGCCCCATTCTTTGCGGTGCACGCCCTACCCCCTTCTCCCCTTACCCCGAGTTCTATTCCTTTCTTCACCCTATTCTTCCCTCCTTCTTCTTTCACTCCCTTCGCCCTCCCTCTCTCCCCTGCAACACTCTGTTCTGTCTTTCTATTTTCCTTTATTTTTTTTGCCAGATGGGAGATGAGGAGAGAGCTAAGAAGAAGAGCGGAGGCAGAGAAAGAGAGGGAGCATAGATAGATAGAATATAGATAGATAAATAGAATAGATAAGATAGATAGAAAATAGATAGATAAAAGATAATTAAATAGATAGATAAATAATAGAGTAATAGATAGATAAATAGATAGATATATAAATAGAATAGATAAATAGATAGATAAATGAGATAGATAAATAGAGAGATATAAATAGATAGATAAATAGATAGATAAATAGATAGATAAATAGATAGATAAATAGATAGATAAATAGATAGATAAATAAGATAGATAGAGAGAAGAAGAGATAGAGAATAGAGAAGTAGATGAGAGAGAGAAAGAGAAGAGAGGAAAGCAGAGAGAGGGACTAGAGTAATGTAGATAGAGAGAGAGAGAGAGAGAGGAGGAGACAGAAGAGGGAGATGAGAGAGAGAGAAGAGAGAGTACAGACATGAGACGAGGAGAGAAGAAGAGAGAGAGAGAGAGGAGAGAAGAGAGGAAGAGAGAGAAGGAGAGAGAGGAAGAGAGGGGGAATGGAGAGAAAAGAAAGTCCAAAACAAAAATACCAGCATGGGGGCACAACAGATTTCATTTACACTACCCCATATGCACAACAAACACACACAATCACACAACACACACACACACACATATATATAGATAGATAGATAGATAGATAGAAAGATAAAGTAAGATATAGGGACAGATATAGGAAGATGTTACGAAAGAAGGCAAAAAAAAAACTCAAGATGGAAGAGAAAAGAGACGGAGACGAAAGAAAAGCGGCAATAAACAGTAAACCTTAACAGAGCGAAGGCAAGTGCCATCCCCGCTTGTGAACTGGCAAGACGTTGGATGTGGCGTGTCAACCGCCTGAATTCGTCTACTCGAGCAGGCGGGCGATGGTTTCTAATGCTGAAGTGTTAGCCTCCGCGGTGTGATGGTTTCGTCGTATTCGGTTCCGCTTCTCTTTTCGGTCTCAGTCTCGTCTCTGCTTCTCTACTGAATTCTGTTGTTGCGTCTCCGGTCTCTGCTTACTACTGTTTCGCAGGTCTACCTCTCTGATTCTCTCTGATTCCGTTTGGGCTCTTGCGGTCTCCGCTTCTCGTTTACGGTCTCGTGTCTCTGCCTTCTCTCTCGATTCTGTTATTGGTCTCTCAAGTCTCTCCAGCTTCTCTTTTCCGGATCTCTGTCCCTGCTTTCTCTCTGACTTCTGTTTGGTTCTCTGATGGTCTCCGCGTGTCTCTTTCGGTCTACTCTGTCTCTGCTTCTCTCTGATTCTGTTTTGGTCTCTCGGTCTCCTGGCATCTCTCTGTTTCGGTCTACTCTCTGATACTCCTCGCTTATGGTCTCTCGTGTGCTCCGTTATCCTCTGGTTCGGCTCTCGTACTTGGATTGGTCTGCGTCGTGTCGCACTGCTCCTGTTTCGGCTTCTCTCTATTCTGTTTTTGTGGTCTCTCGAATCTCCGTTTCTCGCTAATGGTTTGCACGATCTCTCTCTGATTCCTGTTTGGTTCTCTCAGGGTCTCCGTTTCCTCTGTGATCGGTCTCGGCTGCCTCTGTGTCTGTTTCGTCTTCCGTCTCTGGATTTGGTCGTCTCCCGGTGCGCCTTGCCTAATACTCCTTTTCGGTCTCTCGGTCTATGATCTTCTCCTGGTTTCAGTTCTCTTCTGTTTCAGCCTCCTCGTCGTTGAGTTTGTCTCTGCTGTCTCTGACTGCTCTGTTTCGGGCTTCTCTCTGATTTCTGTTTTGGAATCTCTCGGTCATCGGCATTCTCCGGTTTTGGTTCTTTCACTCCTTTCTTCTGTTTCGTTTCTTTTTTCCATTCTCATTGCCGATCTCTTTCCGTCTTCCTCTGTGTGTATTTATTTATCCCCTTCTTCTGAGTCTGGTTTTTTTCTCTTTTGAGCTGTCTTTTATGTCCTGTCTAGTCTTCTCTCTCGCTCGTCTCACTCTCTCCCTCTCCATCTCTGCTCTCTCTCTGCTCTTCTCTTCTCTCTCTCTCTCTCTCTCTCTCTCTCTCCTCTCTCTCTCTCTCTCTCTCTCACCTACATCTATCTATACCATCTCTTCTCCAACTCCCCGTTTCTTTAAAACATTGTAGCATCGTTTGTCTTCATAATTTTTTTTTTATTATATGTCTTTTCACATGTGTCTTCCATCTCCCGTGTTTATGTACACCTAGCGGGCCTCGAAGAACGAAAAGACAAAAGAAATAAAAAATAAAAAGAAAAGACAAAAAAAAGAAAAAAGAAAAAAAAACGACACAAAAGAAAGAGAGAGAGACAGAGAGAAAGACAATGGAATCGTCACCTGTCACATGACACGTAACATGACATCACACAAGAACTCGAAGTCACGTGACAATGCAGAGGCGAAAGATCCAGAACTCCGGGAGTGATGAACTTGCATGACACGTGAGATCCGAAGATGACCCAATGAGACGGTACGAGGGGAGCGGCGGGCGACCCTCGTGACCTGACACCTCGCCGTTGTCATGAGGGAGTCGGCCATGTCATCGCCGCATGTGCCGCGGGTGTGTCACCTCATGACCTCTTCGAATGCGGGATGACATGTCGGAATGGGAATGGGGGAGATGGGTGGGGTAGGGTAGGGGAGGGGATGGAGGGGGAAAGGGAAGGAGAGGAGGGGGGAAAGGAAGGTAGAGGGAAAGGAAAGGGGGTGGGTGGAAGGGAATGGGAGGGATGGAAGGGGGAAAGGAAAAGAGATGGAGGGAAGAAAGGGAAGGGAATGGTGGGGGGGGGGAGGGGAAGGGGAAGGGATGAGGGGGAAAGGGAAGGGGGCAGAGGAGGAAGGAAGGAGGAGGGACAGAGAGGGGGGAAAGGGGAGAGGGATGGAGGGGGAAAGGAAAGGGAGGAGGGGAAGGGAAGGGGGGGAAGAGGGGAGGGGGTAAGGGAATGTGAGGGGATGGAGAGGAAATGGAAGGGAAAGGAAGGTGAGGATAGGTAGTAAGGAGATGTGCATAGGAAGAGGTAGACGAGGGCAAAATGAAGAAATGAGGTAAATGGCAATTGGGAGAATGAAGAGGAATCAAAAGTAAGGAGAATGGAAGGAAGGAAAATAAATTAGGGAGGGATGAAGAGACGGAAAGAATGAAGTGAAGGGAAAGGGAAAATGAGATGAAGAAGAGAGGAAGGAGGGAAGAAATGATGAGAGAAGGTAAGAGGGAAAAGATGAAAGAAAAGACGAGGAAAAACGTAAAGAAAGAAGGAGAACGAAAGAAAAGGAGATAAGAGAGGAAAGGATGTATAAAGGGGATGGATGGAGGGAAGAAGAACAAAAAGGCAGAAAGGGAGAAAAAGAGGGAAGGAGAGAGGAAGAGGAAATAGATAAAAAAAGAGGATGAGGACGAGAGAAGGAGGAGGCAAAAAGCAAACTCAAGAGGAAAGAGAGAATAGCAAAAACAGGAAGATAATTATTTAGAAAAGAAATTGTTAACATATACTTTGTGTCTTTGCATGCATGGGATTTTTTGATTGTGTGCGGAGAAACAACGATAGATATTTACATCAACAAATAGACAAAGAAAGAGAGAGAGAGAAGAGACAAAAGAGAGAGAGAAGAGAGAGAGAGAGAAAGAGAGAAGAGAGAGAAAGAGAGCAAGAGAGAGAGAGAGAAGAGAGAGAGAGAGAGAGAGAGAGAGAGAGAGAGAGAGAGGAGAGAGAAGAGAGAGAGAAGAGAGAGAGAGAGAGAGAGAGAGAGAGAGAGAGAAAGAAAGAGAGAAGAGAGAGAGAGAGAAAGAGACGAGAGAAAGAGAGAGATAGTGAGAGAGAAAGAGAAGAGAGAGAGAAAGAGAGTTACCGTTACAAACACACGTAGGTCACACCCATCATTAAAATAACCGAAAAACATTAAAGATGAAAATATCTAATCATTAAAGAGAGGTTATTCTCCATCGAAGTGGTTTAACTATATCTCTCATTTATACATAAACACGCACATACACGTTCAACACACTGATGGCCCATGTAGTCATAACCCATACGCACACAACGCCCATGTAGTCATAACCTACACACACACAACGTACATGCATCACTCCCACACGCACACAACGCAGAGACAGTCACACCAATACGCACACACAACCACATGTATATCCCTCCCCCTCCCCTCCCCCACCCCATACACCACACCGCGCAAGCATCTCTCCCATACGCACACAACGCAGAGGCAGTCACACCAATACGCACAAAACGCAAAATGTATATCCCTCCCCTTTCCACCCCCCACCCCATACACACACAACGCACATACATCACTCCATACGCACACAACGCAGAAGCAGTCACACCAATACGCACACAAACGCACATGTATATCCCTCCCCTTCTTCCCCCCCCCACCCCACCCCCCTGCGCAACGACCACGCATGCACGAACACAACCATTACTTTCGCAACTCGTCCCTTACCTTGCAATTAGAAGCGGCGAGATATTGACAAGTTATTGCACAGCAACACCTTTCACTCAAAAGACAGGTGAGAGAGTAATGGGTGTTGGGAAAGAAGTTGTAATAGGCCTTGTCTCTCTCTCTGTCTTTTCTTCTCTGTCGTCTCTCTTTCTTCTCTCTCTGTTCTTCTGTCTTACTCTCTCTCTTTCTCTCTTGTCTCTTTCTCTCTCTCTCTCCCTCTTCCTTTCTCTCTCTCTTTTTATTCCTTCTCTCTCTTTCTCTTCTTCTCCCCCCCCTCTTTACTCTTTCGTCCCTCTCCCCCCCCCTCTCTCTCTCTGGTTTATTTCTTCTCTTCTCTCACTCTCTCTCTCTCTCTCTCTTCTCTCTCTCTTTTCTCTCCGCGCGCCATGTGGCGTCGTAAATAGGTAATTGGTTCGATCTCGTCTGAAATTACAGTAGGTGCGTGCGCGCGGGAGGGTCTGTGTGTATTTTGTGAGTGTGTGCCGTACAGGTATATGTGTGTGTGCGTTCGTGTCTGTGTACCTTGTGGGTGTATGTTGTTGGTGACGTGGTGTGTGAGAGTGTGTGTGTGTGCTGTGTGTGTGCGGTGCGTGCGTGTGCTGTGTGTGCTGTGTGGAGGTGCGTGTGTGTGTGCTGCGTGTGTGTGTGTGCGTGTTGTGTGTGTGTGTGTGTGTGTGTGTGTGTGTGTGTGTGTGTGTGTGTGTGTGTGTGTGTGTATGTGTGCGTGTGCGTGCGTTCCCGACCCCTTCCCCGCCGCCCCGCCCGCAGATGAGTCCGCGGCGCACTTCGTCTCGGCGCCGTCGGTCCGCTCGTCTCGGCGGAGAGTTGTCACGGCGAGGTGTTCAACGACCTCTCCCGCGTCGCCCGGTCGTGCTCGTGGTCGTCCGCCGAGTCGTCCCGCAGCGCCGGATGGTTCTCGAGGCGGCGGCGGCGGCGGGAGCAAGGGTCAGTCGGTGGTTTATCTCAAAAAGAGAGTGAAATGGCACAAAATTGCCGTCTTAAAATTGCCCCAATCACTCCCCTCCCCCGCCCCCCCCGCCTCGCCTTCCCACGTTCCCACACGCCTTCCCAGAAAGCTTCGGACGCCCGCGACGCCCACGAGCGAGGGCGGGGGGCGGGCGGCGAGCGATCGGCGGCGCAACGAGCGGTGGGCGGCCGACGCGGGTTGGTAGCGCACGGCGAGGCACAGGCGCGGCGCCGCGAGAGCCGGGATTGGAGCGTCATGTGCTGTTTCTTCGCTTTGCCGTGATTATGGAAAATTAGAGCTGAAAAATAGTGGATAATAAACAGGGGGAGGCGGAATCGTAAAATCCGAACACGGAGAGCCCGCGCGCAGGGTTAGGAGGCGCCGACGGAAGGAGGCGCCGCCGGGCCGCTCGAGAAGCATAAACGCCGACGCCGGACTTAACGAGGTTCCTCATGCACGCGGCAGATGGCTCGCACGCACACGCACGCGCACGCACGCACAGCAGCAGGCACAGACAAAACACCCACGCACGCACATGCTCTCTCTTCTCTCTCTGTCTCTGTCTGGTCTCTGTCTGTCTCTCTCTCTCTCTCTCTCTCTCTCTCTCTCTCTCTCTCTCTCTCTCTCTCTCTCTCTCTCTTCTCTCTCTCTCTCTCTCTCTCTCTCTCTCTCTCCTCTCTCTCTCTCTCTTCCTCTCTCTCTTCTCACTCTCTCACCTTTTCACCTCTCCTCCCTCCCCTTCTCTCTCTCTTTCTTTCTCTCTCTCCCTATTTCGCTCGCCCTCTCACTCAACAAACCTTAGATGACGCACACACACGCACACATGAGCGTAAATTCACGGTCACAGATTCTCGCTCGTCATCCTGCCTTTCTTCATCTACCTTAATTAAGATGGCAATTAGATGACGCTGATTAGGATGACTCTAATGACCGTAATTATGATAACAAGGCAAATAATGATAACAAAAAAGAGTAATGACAATAATAAACAATATCTTTGACTGTGATAATCAAAGCAAATACGATGATGATTGTGAAAATAATAACAATAATTGAACTTAATTATCACGTGACTCATGACAGTTATTAGTAATTATTAAAGTGATAACACACACGAATGATAATATGTTATCACTATAATAACTTGAAAGATGACCTGATAGATATGATAATTTCAATTATAAGAATTAGTATTATCAAGTTATCATTTTGATTGCGAATATTTCTTGAACTTAAAAATAGTAAATAGATTATGATGATTTTATGAATGAAGAAAAATGGGAATGAATGGAATGTATATGGAGGAAAGGGAGGAAAGGGGAGAGGAGGAAAAATTTACTGGGTTGAGAGAGAGAGAGAGAGAGAGAGAGAGAGAGAGAGAGAGAGAGAGAGAGAGAGAGAGAGAAGAAGAGAGAGAGAGAGAGAGAGAGAGAGAGAGAGAGAGAGAGAGAGAGAGAGAGTGTGAAAGAGGAGAGGGTGAGGGTAGAGAGAAAGAGGGAAAGAAAGGAGAGAAAGAGAAAGAAAGAAAAAGAAAAAGAAGGAGAGAAAGAAAGAGGGAGAGAATGAAAGAAAGAAAGGAGGAAAGAAATAAAGAGAGAGAAACAGACAGAGAAAGACAAACAGACAGAGGCAGACAAACAGACATTAATGAACGAATGAATAAACAAACAGAAAAAAACATAGAGGTAAAAAAAGAACATACACACACAACACCCCACCACCATCATCACAAAAAAGAAAAATAAACAGACGGAGATAAACCGAAAGAGAGAGAGAGAGAGAGAGCGAGAGAGAGAGAGAGAGAGACAGACAGACAGACAGAGAGAGAGAGAGGAGAGAGAGAGAGAGAGAGAGAGAGAGAGAGAGAGAGAGAGAGAGAGAGAGAGAGAGAGAGAGAGAGAAATACATCACCATAAAAGGCAAAGCAACATCTACTGTTATTTCCGGATGTGAAGTTTGCTCCTAAAAACAACAGAGGCAACCCCCTCTCCCCCTCCCCCCACCACCATGTTTTTTTTTTTTTTTTTTTGTCAAATTGCTTCGATATTTCGGTAAATTAGAGGACACAGTTTGCGTAAATTTTTTTTTTTTCTCTTATTCTATTTCATTTTGT